CTACCTTTTTCATACAAACCCCACCATCTTTAGGCAGTTACGCCTGGTTAAGGTCAACTCTGTGTAGTTTTAAATAGCGAACAGCAAGTACTTCAAATTATTATATTGGCTCAAAGGTGACTTGCTTGTAACTTTTGAATGTTTGTCTAAGAGCATTTTTAACCGACTTCGTCCTATTATCTTTAATGACCAGTACTTTCTGCAGATTGTCTAATGCTAATGGTTGTAGAGTTAACTGAATAAGAATAAACCCTGTTGTGTGAACAACTTTTTCCTTTGTTTACTAGAAACAACAATTTTGGAGAGATGAGAGAAAGAAGATCCCGTAAGTATGACATACGTATATGGGTAAAGCAAGAGGGAAATGCGAGATCCGAGACTATTCTGTTTAGCAGGCCACTAAAGTTTCCCTTATTATTATATACAACTTGCTACTACAACAACTACCAACGGTTCAACTGTCTTGGCTGTCAATAATATGTAACAGTTATATTCCTATATAAGCTTCCCAGTACCTAGCCGCATTATTAGTCACGAAGAATCACGAAGAAATGTGTTTCTGACTAACCTCTCTCATTATTACCTTCATATTATGATAGCATATTGAGAATTTGGGGCGTAATGGTGTATGCTGTTTATATTGTGTACTATTAATGATCTCGAAAACGCGAAATTAATCTTCATCGCCAGAATCCCTAAATCAGCGACCAGGAATCCTATGCTTATAAACTTTTCATGCATGTTAAACGTAACTGTTGTTCACGTTCGTGCAAAAAATTGACCCGGAATATTAAGTACGATTTTGAATTTGCATAGAACGATCTAATTGATTTTTCGATTACGCGAAATCAATTTTCGTTGTCGATAATCACTAACTCCAGCAAGCAAGAATCGTATGTTTATAAAATTTACATGCATGTTAAAGGTTACAATTGTCCATCTGTGTGCAAAAGTTGACAAGGAATATTAAGAGTTTGTATATAACGATCTGCTTGATTTTTCGAAAACGCGAAATTAATCTTCATCATTAAAAACCCTAAATCAGCAAGCAAGAATCGTATGCTTATAAAATTTACATGCACGGTAGATTAATAAAGAACGTATAGGAGGCTGATCAAGACGTTAGCGCTGCAATGATTAGAATCGGATATAAACCGGCCTTTGATATGTTTCTCAACCGTTGAATCGCCTCATGTAACTTCCATACTATCTCACGCTTCAAAGGACCAACGGTCAAATCAGTGCACGGACTCACCAAGTCACGCTACAAACTCCATCAAGTCCTAACCCACCCAATAGGTATACCAAATCTATCGATTACTCCAGTACGCTATCTACTATTCCCAACATAGTGTCACCAGACCCTCCACCAGTCAATTGTTCTATTCGCCTGCTAAGCCGTCTGTAACTTCCATCACCCATTGTCCTTCGATGAGATGGTCTTCTTTTGCTTGCTTCTATTCTAGAAGATCTTCTAATGTCTTTTGTGGTAACATGAAATGACGATGAGTGCATATGATATAATTGATATACACGATCCATGAAATCATTCATAAGGGTGAGAAAATCGTCAACAATAAACGTAACAGCTGTAAATTTACTCGAGCTGCATTATTGTCGGTTCATAATACTTCTTCTCGCGTAGCCGACTACTGGCACAACGTTCGTATCACAGATTATGCCCGCAGTTAGAACAACTATGTTGCGAATTGAAGCTAGGCGGTATGAATGGTTGGTGATGGGTGTGTAGGGGTCGCGATTGCGGATCGAATGTGGTTCTGCATTGAAGGAGGAACAAAATATGATCTGTCGAAGTATAGAGGCGGACATGTCTGACTAGGAATAAGCGGATCGTTTCCACGAGTAAAGTGGGCGTTTGAAGCCAAAATCAAATGACAAGAATGAAAGAATATTTATCTCAGAGGTTAGACAAGAAAAAGTCAAAGCCTGCTAACGGTATATAGATTACAATGGCAAGTTTCCCAACGCATTTGAACTTCAGATGCTCGTGTGATGCACTGATTTTATTCGGGAGCACATTAGCATTTCTAAAAATACAGTTGATTAGACATTATCCGATGTACGCAGACCTCTTTGTAACGCATCTACTGCCGCATGATTCTTGAGGACCAATTGCGTCGTTATCATAACCATCAGACCCAACACCGTAAATATTGGACATAA